GCGCCTTCGCTAAGCGAGGGCAGGGCGCGAAAACGGCTGCCGGCAGCCATTTCCGGGCTTCCGGTGGTCATTTTGGAACCGCCGATCAGCTGTTCGGCGGCTCCAAAATGGCCGCCGCAATACCCGATCTTCGCAATGCGGGTTTTCCCCATTGCGAAGATCGGGTATGTTTCCGTATAGCGATCCCGAAAAAGGGATCGCTATACGGAAACATCGCTATACGGTGCACTCGTTAAGCGAGGCACCACTGTATTTTCAAAATCTTATTCTTAAAAAATTTGTGGTCTTACAAGAAAATAAGAAGTCAACCATTGATGCAGTAAATAGAACAAGTCTGGCTCATTCATTTCAACACTGCGGCTGAAAGAAAATTACACTGAAATTTTGCATTGGTCGAACCCAGACCTTCCATCAGGGAAAACTGAATGCTATTAATTAACGTACGTTGGGAATTTACTGTGCCTTCTGCCTCGTTGCTTACTTTCCATACTTCAGTCTGCTTTCTCCTGCTTTCTTTGAGGTTGCCTCCTTCCTCTTTTCCCCTCCTAGAGAAGTGGACTCACATAGATTTTTCAAGATGCAGGCGGAGATCTGCATTCATAGAAGCCAGCTGTGGAGGCTTCTGTATCTAAATTTAGTTCTATTTCTTCACAATTATCATTGAACTGAAGCAATAAACAAGTTTGCTTTTTTTTAACCAAAAAGTCATTTCCAGAGTTGTCGCTGCTGTTGAATAACCAAAGCTCAGAACTAGCCCGCTGCGTTTTGCTAGAATAAATGCTGAGCCACAAACCAGCCCAGTTTGTCAGTTTTTTTGGCCAGTGCCCATCTTTAATTGGAAGTGATTTGACAGCCTAGAACAACCACTGTGCTGAAATTGACCTTGTATAAGAAGAGTCTGATAGCAGATCAAACCAAAAGCATATCTCGTACAGCATTCATGTCAACGTTATTTCAGGCTCGTACGTAGGGCAGCAGCATCCTCCCTTGCGTGTCCTCCTGCAGCTGATACGTGGAGGCATGCTGCCTTTGATCCTGGAAGCAATAGTGCAGTTGTCCTGATATTTGTTAGTCTGTGGAACTCCTTGCCACAGGATGTGGTGACGCCATCTGGCCTCTAGAGGCCTTGAAAAGGGGATTGGACAGATTTCTGGAGGAAAAGTCCCATTGGAGGTGATAAGCCATGATGGGGATGTATATAATCTCCAGGCTTCGAAGGAAGGGACCTCCAAAGGCGGGGAGATACAGGGAGGGAATCAGCAGACAGGGTCTTTCGTGGTCTCGGGTACTCCCAGAGGCATCTGGTGGGGCCACGGGGAGATACAGGGAGTTGCACTGGAGGGGCCCTTGGCCTGATCCAGCACAGGGCTCGTCTGAGGCTCTTATGTTTATCCTTGGAGCAGATGAAGGCCCAGATCTAATATAACATGCATTGTACTTTAGTGAAGGGGTGAATACTGCAAGGTGTGTCCACTCCATCAAACGATACTGGTATTTCCTTGGCATAAAGGCATGCTAAGGGCCCGAATTTGGGAACTGCTGGTGTAGTGCACAAAAAATGTAAAAAGCCATGTGGCACCGTGAGGCTGCCGCCTGACAGAACATGCATCCTTTTATTATTTTGCATGGAGATGGTCCTCTTTGTACTTTGTAGAACCCGGGGGGGGGGAGGGCATTTACTGGCAAACCATGGATCACTTTTGAGCAAATCCATGAACTGCTTTTGCTGTGTTCATGATGCACAGCCTGTCATTTAAGGTGTGTGTGTGTGTGGAAGCATCCGTAAGCCACTTGTGGCTTGTTTCCCAAGACTTGTAGCTCGCAGATAAAGTGAAGCTGATTTTCCCGCCTGCCCCCCCAAACACAGATAACCTTTTTGGGTGCTTTTATCGGAGAGTTCTAGGTAAAACCCCAGGTGCCTGCTGTCATGTACTCTTCCCGATTGCAGGAAATCTTCTCTGGGTGTCTTGCGTTGCCGGCTTTTGTGGCTGCTGTTCCTTTTTCATGTTGGTTGGCTATGGTCGTTTGAGAGACGGCCCAGGCAGGTTTGCTTGAGTTGCAAGGCGGAGAGGCAGTTGTATAGCGTCGTTGCTCTAAGTCAATGGCTCCGAACCTTGGGTCATCCAGATGTTCTTGGACTGCAGCTCCCAGAAACCCTGGCCAGCCCAGCTGGTGGTGAAGGCATCTGGGAATTGCAGTCCAAAACATCTGGATTAGTCAATGTTGGGAACCACTGTTAGAAGTACGTAACAGATTTAGGCTGCAGTCCTGCGCACGCTGACAGGGGAGTAATCCCCAGTGAACACAATGGAGCGATCGTCTTACAGAGGGTTCTGCTCCGTGGCGTTGATCCGAAGGCAGCATCCCTCGAGAGAAGGGCCTCCAGCATCTTCATTGTGTCCGCCAGCCTTGATTGCTGCACAAAGAGACACTTCTTTGCAAAGCCGTGGTAGGGTTAGGGACGCACTCTTTGCTCCAGTGTGCCAAGAAATAACAGCTGGGGTTTAGAGTTGGACCAATGCAGTTCCAACCGAATGAACTGACGTGAACCCAGCTGTGAGCCCCTCCCACCCGGGTCCTTGCGCAGAGAAGCCCGGGAGCGTCCGTAGAATCGTCCCGTATATAATAACCCACCGGGCGACTGAGGCCGGAGGGAAGCCGGGTACCCGGCAGGCCAGCAGGAGCGGCGAGAGCCTGAGAAGCGATTGGGAATGCCAGCCAGAGGCCCACAGGAAATTGCCTCTCCAGCCCGCAGTTAAATCTGACCTCTTGGCAACCAGTCAAAACAGCGTTCCCGGAGAATACCATAGAGTCTGTGTTCCAGGCTAGCGGGCAGGCAGAGGGTTCCCCAGGGCCCGGCCAAAGGAGAGGAAAGGGGAGGAGAAGATAAAGAAAAACACGCACACATGCACGCTCACACGCACACCCTCCCAGAGCAGTCTCAACAGTGTCTTGTTGGCGGGCGGCAGAACAACAGAAGCGCTCCCCGGTCCTGGCTGCAGGGAGAATTTCAAAACCAGCCCTATCCAGGGTGGTTCTGAGTTTATTTTTTTTGACACCAGGGTTTGGAAGACTCTTGAGCTCGAAGCTGCATGCCCATTTGCATCTGGAGCAGCGAATTTGGCTTTCCAACCGGCTGCGCCCAGAGGACCTTCGAACTGGATGCCAGGGCATCTTGGTGGAATTTTGTTCCTGTAAAGGGCCCGGTGGGGGGGGGCATGGACCATAACGGCTGTCGGCATGTCAGAGGGGGCCGCCTTGGGCTCCCTGGGGCGGCACCAGGAACAGCCCAGTAGAATGGGGATTCTGCAGGATCTGTGGTTCTGCCCGCGGGCCATCTTCTCGGGAAGAGTTTTGGAGCCTGGACGGACGGTCTCTTTCCCCGACGAAGGGCTTGGGATGGGCCAGCGTTCCCCATCTCGGAACATCCGTGGCTTCTGTGATCTTTGCTAACCGGGAGCCTCTCCGTTTATGCGGCGGGTCTGTCGTTCCCCGGACAATCGAGGCAGGAGGACAACTGGCCGCAGAGACTGGACCAACGTCTGTGCAGCAGAGATGAGACGGTTCGAGGCGTGGCGCCGTTCCTTCCCGTTTCTGGCCCGTTTCCGCATGTACAGGGTAAGAGAAGCGCCACTTAAGGTGCCCGGAGACACCAAAGGGACCTCCCCTCTTCTCCTAATTCTTTTAGGGCCCTTCTTTCCAGAGTGTCTTCTGCTGTCTTCTAACTGATGATGTGGCTTGGCTGGCTGACTAGAGTCACCCATCTCTCTGTAAGCCACTTTCTGTAGCTGCCTGCTCGCTTCCTGTAATGACGGATGTGGTCCGGATTATAATCGTTTCTTGCAAGGCTGGCCCTTGGCTTGTCTAGAGAGGGTTTGAGGGAGAAGGATTGGAGAAGTGCAATCAGGGTCAGAGAGAGAGAAAAAAAGAGCTGTAAGAGGTTGTGCTTCTCCCTGAGAGACGGGTAAGATAGAAAGATGCAATAACCTAGTTTTCTCCCTTGACACAATAACACAATCATGTGTGCTTCTCCTTTCTTGCTGCAGGGGTCAAAATAACAGAGGATCTTCTGGTACCTTAAGGGGACTGGCCAGGCTTGTTTGGCTTTTGAGACCTGCAGGGCGCTTCATCAGAAAGTGGACAGGCATTTATACACGTGGTGCGGAGTTAGTGCAAGGTGTTGACATAGGAATGTTTTGCAGTCTTGCTAATGGCCATCGTGCAGCGTGCGCAAGGTCACGCAGGTGGCGGGGCTCCCAAACCCCATCAGCCTGACACATTCCAACTGATCTCCTGTCCCAGGAGTCACTGTGGGAATTCGAACTCCCAACCCATAGCTCTGTAGCCAGGCGGACCTATCAACGGAGCTGTTCTCGCTTGTAACAGCGCCGTGTGTTTGGGGTGAGGGGGCTCAGCTTTCTGGAAATGTCTACAGGCATGTGGGTGAGTTGGCAATGCGTTAGAAAAGAGCTGAGCCCAAACCGTTTTAGATCATTAAGTGTAGTCAACAAATTTGCTCTTACCACTATGAGTTTCCCATCTGAGCAATGGGAATAAAAATGTGAAAAGGGCCCAACCCTAGCTAGTTAATGTCAAACAAACAAGTGAACCAAAGAGATGGGGGTTCATTATATGCTTCCTTTTCAAACCCTAACTGTTCTCTCTCTTTCTCTCTTTATTAATTTATTTCTTTGCAAAATGTTGGACTTGCCCACGTCTTATTAAATTCTCTTTAACTCCACGGCAAGAAGTAAATGTCAGAACTGGAATTTCCCAAAGAAATAAGGCTGTAAGATAGGATGCAGGAGGGGAGACCTCTGAAATCGTGGCCCACAGGAATGCAAAGCAAAGGAAGAAGCTTTTAAAGTAACAGCTAGCATTTATCCTGATGGTGTGGTCGCCAGATGTATTGCGTGACTCTTCCGACAATCCTCAGCCACAGGTCCTCGGGTCTGCTGGCAGGGGTTTTGCTGCTTTTAGTATTTGCGAGTAAACATATCTGTGGAGCATGAGAGCATCATCCTTCCTCTCTGATTTCCCTCTCAATATTTAGTGAAGGTGTGATTTATGTCATTTTCTTCCCCTGATCCTAACCTCTGCTGTTGTTTTTTTTTGGGGGGAGAGGCTGAATTGGGATAAAAGTGGGGTGCAAGTAAAATAAATATGGAATACATAAATGTTTTTAGTGGTCTAATAAAGGTATCCACTGGTTGGATAGCTTAGTGGTTTAGGTATCTGGCTGCCGAGCCAGAGGTTGGGAGTTCGATTCCTCCCAATGGGCCTCCTGGGAGAAGAGCCAGCCTGGGTGGCCTTGGGCAAGCTGCACAGCAGTCCCAGGGGTCCCTCCAAGAAGAAGGGAACAGGGAAGCCACTTCTGAGTATACTCTACCTGGATAACCCTGAGAAGGGTTGACGTAAGTCAGAATTGACTTGATGACACATTATTATGATTAATAAAGATATTGTTTAACCTTAATTTGGGGTTTTACACGTGGGCCACCCAGCTGTGTCTCTTTTCTGCTCGCCTGTCATGGAATCAGCTGGTCCGAGAGCTTGAGGATCGGGGAGGAGGTCTCTTCTCAAGCAGTAAGTTCAGTGCTTGGAAACATTGCCGCATTTTTCTGTGTATAAGATGCCCCCATGGTCTCTTCTCAAGCAGTAAGTTCAGAGCTTGGAAACATTGCCGTATTTTTCTGTGTATGAGATGCCCCCATGTATAAGACTTTTCTAACCCAAAATTTCTTTCTTTGTAAGAAAGTGGAGGGGGAAAGCGATTCCTGCTTTACTTTCTTTGCAAAAAGCTGCTTTCCCCCTCCACGGTTTTGCAAAGAAAATGTGCAGGGGGAAAGCGATTTCTGCTTTCCCCCTCCATTTTCTTTGCAAAACGTGGAGGGGGAAAGCAGGGATCAAAGCTTCCGAATATAAAATGACCCTCAATTTTTCCCTTTAATTATTTTAGGAAAAGGTCTCATTTTATACACTGACAAATACGGTACTTTCTCATGCTGCAGTGGTTAAACTGCAGTACTGCAGCTCAAACTCTGCTCATGACCTGGGTTCTGTCCCAGGTAGCTGGCTTGGAGTTCACTCAGCTTCCCATCCTTCGGAGGTCCGTAAATTGAGTGCCCAACTTCCTTGGGGGGCGCAATGTGTAGCCTGCATCATTAAATTGAAAATCGCCCAGAGAGTCCTTTAAGGCAGCGCTATGGGACGGTATATAAGCAGCCGACTTTGCTTTGGAGAGGAGGGAGGACTGCATGTCCCAGAACTCCACAGCCAGGGATTCTGGGAGTTGTTGTCCAAAAATAATAATAGTAACATTTCTAAGCTCAGGACAAGCCCAGTTTCCAGTGTTCTCAGAGGAGAGTCGTCCAGGGATGAGGACTCTGGAGCCGCCCAGAGAGATTTTTTCAGACAACCGGGCAATCCAAATCCCAAACAGAATACTTTTCTTTTTCCCCCCTCCCTCGCCTCACAAACGGGCCGTCCCGCGCGCTCGCCCACTGGGTCCAGCCCTTTATATTTTTAGCCTAAGCTCCACCGCAAAGAGTCGGCATTGTCGTGTTGCAGCTTAGAGTGGCTCTCGCCCAAGAATAGCAAGGGAGGCTTGTTGTGTTGTCTGTGCAGGCAGGATTGGGCGGGGGGGGCTTGAGAAAAGGGGGGGATGTTTTGACTGAGGAGGCTGGGAAGAAGGAAGAAGGGCTCACGACAGATGTGGAGGGGCTGGAAGAAAAGGCAAACTGATGGATGGAAAGCTCCTGGAATTTCCATGCAGTCAACAAAAATAACTTTTCCATTTCTGTTGCAAACGCACCCGGCAGGTCTTTTAAAGGCTGCCCTTCATTTCCCTTCCCTTTGGCATTCTGTGTTCGGCAGTTTCTTAGGGGCCACCGTTTCTTTAGCTAGGCTTGTAAAACATGAGTGCCTCTGTTCCTCAAGAGCGAGGCCTCCTCTAAAGTCCTGTGTTCAGTTCTGGACGCCACACTTGAAGAAGGAAGCAGGTCTAGGACTAAGTGCCTAAGTGACAGGAGTGGAGCAAATTCAGAGGAGCCAATGACCTTAACCCCCACCGAGGCAGGTCTAGGACTAAGTGCCTAAGTGACATGCCCATGGCCATCACCCAGGGTCTGTGGCAGAGGTAGAAATCGGTGGGGATGGGAATGTTTTCCCCAGGGTAACCAGTGAGCTGTGGTTTCCACGAGGAATGCTGTAGGTATTCCAGGTGCGTTTCACCTCCATCAAGGCTGGGGAAACCATGGGGAAGATGGGTCTCAGCCCTAGATGTTGGGGGAATGGGCTCCTTGCGCTTTGGGAGGGCTTTGGGAGGGGCCGAGGAATCGGCTCAGAGGGCTGAAGGGTCCTTCTTGAGCCTCTTGAGATGGGATATCCCAGTATGGAGATACTTAAGGCAGGTTGGGGCATTGGCTTGTATTCTTAGACTCTCGAATTTCGAGGACTCCGGAGGGATGAAAATCAGTGGAAACCGTAACAGAAATAGTTAAGAGTCGAAGCCTCGGTTCTTAGGTCAGGGCATTGAAACCAGCTGTGTTTTTTTATTTTTTGGCAGCAAAACTGAAAGAGAGTTGAGGGACACCTTAAAGGCAGTGGAATTTATTTAGCATAAACTTTTTGGGATGTTAGCCTCATTTCCTCGGGTGCAAGGGAGGGGTGCAGGGATTAAATGGGTCGTCATCCCTAAAAGATCATGGCAAACAAAGGTTAGTTGTCATCATTCACTCAAAATATTTTATACCCTGCCTTTCTCCTTTAAAAAAGACCCATGGTGACTTACGTAATTAAAATGTCACGTTTTAACCACCCGTGGCGCAGTTGTGAAACTGTGCTCATGACCCTGAGTTCAGGGTAGCCGATTCAAGGTTCAGTCAGCCTTTCATCCTTCCAAAGGAGTCCTCAGCTCACTCGCTGGGGGGGGGGATGTGTTGCCTGCATAATTAACTTATAAACCGCCCAGAGAGTGCTTGACGCGCTATTGGGCAGTATATAAGCAGCACGCTTTGCTTTTTTGCTTTTAAACCAAAAAACAGTAAGCATACAACTATAAGAAAGGGTCAAAGGCCACACGACAACACAGTGAAGAAAAACAGCACCAAAACACATCCAAAGCAGTAAACGCACAGCAATCCATTTTAAAAATGCCATCCAGGCAGCCAGTCACTCACTCAAGGAAAGCCTGCCCGAAGAGGAAAGTCTTTATCTGCTTGCGGAAGGAGAGCCAAGATGGGGCCAGCCTGGCCTCCAGTGGGAGGGAGTTCCAGAGTCTAAAGGAGCAGCCACGGAGGGGAGGCCCTTTCAAATGCACCTGTGTTCAAGTGTTAAAGGTCTTTTTCTGTTTCAAGAAATGTTTAAAACCCCTCTTGCCTTACTTGATTCAAGCTACAGTCACTCAAAGTTAGGTGGGAAAGGAAGGTCCGCAGACCTGCGTTGACCTTGGCTAAAGGTCCCACAGATATGTCTACCTCCCCACTCCTGTCTACCCCCCACTCACGGGATCTCACAAAGCCTAGGGTGTATTTTGAGTTGCTGGATTTGCCATGGGTTTGGATTGTTTCAAGCCAATTTAAAAACATCCTTGGCCATGACGGACTCCTTAGGATGTT